TTCATAAATATCACAGCCAAGTCACTTGGCAGATGGCCCTGTCAACTAATCTGCTTGTGTGTATAATAACTACTACAACACAGCCACATAGATTGAGCAGTAGGAAACCCGTCAACCAAGGACTCGCAAGACGTAAAGCATGTCTTACTTTATGCACCAGACAGTCAAACCTTTCAGATGCTTTCAGGGTTTCTGTCTGAGGCGCAGGCGAAACACCAGCCCACGTAAGGAAAAGGCCGAAAAGACCATGGGCGTCGGGACACCAAAGCCCAATAGACTTGCTTTATTTTGTTTCCATCAACTTAAAACTAAACAGTGCTTTTGGGAGCGATGGCCTCCGACCCAATAGCGATGGCCTCCAACCTTTGAATAGCGATTGCCTCCAACCTAATTTTACTTTGTTTATCTTAGTTGTTTGTTGCTTGTATGACACATCTACTGCACTGTGTGCTGAGTCGCTCTCCATCAATACGCTGGCGGCACTTCTGGGGTCTGCTGCTTGGGAGTGTCACAACGGGCACGCAACAGTAAGCAGTCCGGTGAGGCAGAAAGGACCTCGACAAAGAAACATACAGTGGTCTCAGAGTAGATGGCACAGACCTCAAGATGTCCTTTAGATGGGGTCCATATAAACCACCTCTTGGGGTCTGTGCCATCTACTCTCAATCCACTATATATGTACATAAATGGTATACATATATTATATATATATATCATTTATGTATGATATATTATTTATATGACATATATCATTGCTAATAATAATATATAATATATCATTTATAATATATATAATATAGAAGAAATCCCTCGTCTAAAACCATAGCCTGGACTTTGAGTACTGACATGAAGTGAAGGGCTTGAAGTCATGCATGAAGGGATTCAGTCAAAGCACTTTTGGATGTCAATCCTGTGCTAGGAAATTGTAATGTGAACACTTACATCATCGGAAATAGACATGTCGAAAGAGACATATCCGATCGGACTGAGAACTTGCCAAATAACACTTTGGCTCAAGTGTGCCTGAAAAGGATTGAGGCTGCGCTTTCACGGTCGCGATCGATCGACCGTTCGCGATTGTGCTGCCCCTATATTGATAGAATCAGGTATACGATCAGCTGTCAATAATATATCATTTATTATAATGTATGTAATATAAGCATAGTCATCATGTTCTGCAACAAAACCAACTAGCAGATCAGATCTAGCAGATACTGTAGAAGGCCCGTGTATTCAAAGCGAGATAATAGTCTTGGCCAGGAGCTTTACAAGTTCCGTGGGGACAAATCAAAGGAGTCCAGTTTTGAGACCCTGCCATATGGACATCAAGTCATTTGATGGGCATTGTAGTTCCACGTGCATGTGCATAGCACCACTCACCAGACTCACCTCATCATTCTAGCCTAAGAGTCTTGCTTCGCAAGATCGCTGCGCTGCATCACGTGCCAAGAGGCATTGAAGATATTGGAAGTCCCTGGATTGGTCAAGCATAGACTTAACCCCAAACTGGACGCCAGTCAGTAAGAGCATCGTTCTTGCACTAAAAATGGGTTGGAGGAAGATGCAGTGATGACATGAAGCCGTCACCTTGCAATAGCCTGGAACTACGAAGTCAAACTTGTATTTTCATCACATGGCCCTTACTGTAGTTGAAACAAGGTGTTTGATCTGTGACATTGTCGTTCAATAGACCAATGATTTAGATCAAATGAGCCTGGAGTACACTTTGATGCTTTCATTGATTCGTGATTCCAGGTTGCCTGAGAACAAGGAGGCTGGTAACCTAGAGTCCCAGTTGTCGGAGAATCCTCTTTATCGCATGCCGGGCTTGTTTGCAACAAAATCGTGACCATGTGAACCGTGAACCTGTCATGTGTGCGTGTGTTTCAAAAAGTCGTTTCTTTGACGATCATTGCGTGATATTGTATATTTATAATCCAGTTTGATGCGTGAGTTGCCAGGGCCAAAGTGAGGTGGGCTTCGTGGGTTTCCTTGCGGCAGTGGGATTTGCCAGAAACGAGTCGTTCAATCACTACTACAATATGCTGAACTCACATTGAGAAACTTGACTTGCAAACTGCTGTGGGCAGCTAGCGGCCAGTCTCATGTATCTCAAGTGCTCATGCCATCTCTTAAGAACTTCTTTGTTGCTGTTCTTTTTACTATTCTGCTTGGGCACTCTTGGGCACTCTGGCAGCCCCACAGGTGACGCTAGACGGTATTTATTCTCGGGCTAGATATGGTGCTTGCGCAGCCAAGACTTGAACATGCAGCAAGACTCAGCGGAATGGCTGTCCGAGAAAACGCGCGAAGCTGCTGCAAACCTTTGACTTTGATTCGATTTGAAGCTTTTGGCATTTGCAGAGAAGGAAACGACCGCCCTATATAGTTGGACTGTCAAGAAAATGTGTGAAGTAGTTGCATCCAAGAAGACAGGTGAGGATTGTCGACGCACCAGGGACTACTGATGGTGTGGCTGCAGAAGTCAGAGTCTCAACTTCTTGGCTCTTGACTTTCCAAATATTGCAGAAGTCCCGATTTGAGGCGCAACATCGTCAAAACCGGGCAGAAGAAAGTCGGCTCAAGGCAGGTGTTTTTGAGTCATCATGACCAATGCCAAGAACCGGAAGGCTGCGCCATGTGGTATTGCCGCCAACTGCATTTTTGCACATGCTTTATGATTCTTAAGGAAAGGAAGGACAGAAAGACAGGACACAAGAGGAATTGCCTAAAAGTCCAAAGAAAAGAGGAGAGAAGGAATAACAAAATGACAGAAAGAACGCTGCTTTGAGCGTGACAATGCATGGTATGTGTTTTTCAGCGCAGGCACGGGGACTGGCCACGGGAAGTGAGTTTAGCTCCACGCAGGCACCGGAGGGATGACATCGGCAACAACCAATGCACGTGTGTTGAATCTTATTTGAAGCAAAGCAAGCCCTTGCTTTTTCTAAATTCAAGATGAAAACATTTCAGAGCTACCCTGCTTTCTTGGCGTTTAAGGTGTTCAGCTGACTTGGAAGTTAATTTTCCATGAGAGAACTTGGAGCATGTGAGCAATCGATGAAGGTGCTTGGATCAACCCGCGCTTGTTGCAAAGTTTGCTGCCTTTGCCTGTGCCAGTCCAGTGAACCGAGCCACACTTCTGCACATGAAGCAGAGAGCCACAGCCTAAGTTTAGCACCTCAAGTACCACATTGGGAGTGGTGTTTCTTTGGGATGTTTGTATCCGTTTGCTGCGGAATTTTCTTCCACCAGTGCTAGCAGCAGTAACAAGATAAAACCAATAACAAGACATCGTGAAGCCGCCAAATACAAGCCAACATGGTCCTCACACAACTACAGTCAGACTTTCAAAGTCCACGCTCACAGTCGCAGCAAAAACACGGTTTCTTCAAAGGCCAACGCCATCCCTCAGTCATAGCAAAGGCCAGTCACAGCAAAGCTCGCCTTGATGTGTAGATTGTTGCAGGAGACTTTTGGTGAAGTGCCCACAAGGTTGATTATGGTCTCGACATCATAAGCACAGTAAAAAAGGTGTTCAAATGCCACCTCCCCTATGAGGACAGTGCTCATTGGTAGCACTTGAAACTCATGCCAAGTCAGACAAGAGCTCCTAAGCCATTTCTGCCTTTCCTTGTTGCAGACAAGTCGATGTCGCTGTAGTGCACTTGCTAAGTTTCAAAGGCAGTGATGACAACTCTGACTTGTACTTTCAGCGGCAAGAGGATGAGGCAGCGCTGTGTCCAAGAAAATGAACCAAGAACATCATGGCACTTGCGCTGTATGTCCGAAATCTTTGTTACATTTACTCAGAATCTTTCGAACGTCCTGCCAGGATTCATCCCAGCCGCTGGAACCGAGCCCATGCTCGGAGGTAGGGCCTGGTTTTCCCATGTTGCAAATAGGAGAGGCTTAAAGTCTTCCCAAAGAGGATGGCTTCGGAACATGTTCTGTCCAAAGACTGGTCGGAAAATGGGTACTTACGACGATGAGACCGCCATAGACGATAGGAGTCATTCGATGATGTATGGAGAATCAGAAGAGACGTTGAGCGGAGAATGAAAGACTAGAGATCAACTTGTGCGTGCAGAAATCCTGTGTGTAACATCATAATACATTAAGGTAGCATCTTGAAGACACTAGAAGTTTGGATTTGGGTCCACCGGTTTGTGCAATGTTATGGCTCAAGCACGAGGATCAAAACCTCCCATATTGTGCACCAGGGAGTTCGCTCCTGGCAGCAAAATCCTCGGTTTCTCTGGCTTGAGCAGGGTTCACCAGACTTATAAAATACTAGGCTGAGACATGACTGTCCGGATGACGGTCGACTACCCAAAACAAGGTGCATCATCCAAGCACTATATATATAGTGGGGAGAACGCGATTTGTAGAGCTTTGCCAGTCTTGAGTCTATTTGTCGCGCCTTACAAGAAAGCGTCTTTGATATCTCAAACAATCGGGATTCGTCGGATAGAGCATGAGGCTATGGGAGCCAAATGCTGTGCTGGCGAGGAGGCTCAGGAGCATTCCATGGTTGAATATGGACAAAGAAACTGAGCTACAAAGGCAAGCGCTGTACTTCCAAAGTTGATTGATGGGCTGCAGCCAACATGATTTCAGAATATCCCAGAGTTTTCCATGTCTCCATCAGGACTCACCTGATGGAAGCGTCACCGAATCAAGGCCCAAGCATTCCCCTCAGATCAGTTGCATGGTTTGGAAGACAGTGAACTAGCAAAATAGAGTGCCCTGCATTTCGGGATGTACAACAAAGTGTAAAGGACAAAATGACAGTTGGACAAGATACCGCAGTCAGGCCACGAGCTTTCCAAGAAGAAATCATTCAGCAACAGGCCGGCAAGGCATTCACAGCACCTGTGCAGGTCGACAGGGAAAAGACAGCGTTGTAAAGATGACATATGTTGGAACATGCTTTGCGCGAGATTTTCTGCACGTTGCAATTCTTTGGTTGGCCGCTTGTTTCTTTTGCTTTAGCACATTGTCCTGGGGCGAAGAAAGTGTCCGGCTTGTCCAGGATGATGCGAAGGAGGCCTTCCTGTGATTGGACAAGACGCAAGACGCATTCAAAGAAACATCAAGAAACACAACATACGATTCGCACCGAGTTGGTGCTGTTGAGGGCGGAAGGCAAACTTGAAGGGCTGGTAGTTTTGATGTCGGAGTCAACCCCAATTCGAGCCAAGCCCCTCAGCAGATGCCTGGTCAATTTGCAGAACTTGTAAACGTGCACATCATTTGCGTTCTAGAAGAATGCATGACAATGCATTCGATTCAATCCTACGTTCCTTCAGATCCGGAGTTGAAGATGTTTGCCTTCTTTCAGCGACCTCTTACGCATTGTTTAGAAGCTGGTGTGCAAGCCAAGCATGTGAGTTCCTTGCACAGAGGTTCATGTCACTCTGTTGTTGCTGTGACTGTTGACTGGTCTAGAGAAGTTGGCCCGCCCGGCTGGCCCTGCACTTTACCGAGGTGAGCAAGTGGGAACTGTCGCGCCTTGTAGGATCGCTTTGGATTTCTGAGCTTTCTGACCTGCTTCCTCCCGACTACCTTTGAAGGCACTGGCTCAAGTGTTGCCCCAAACCTCATTCTCCTGGACTCTCCTTACACTGGCCATTGCCCTTGAAACCAATGAAGAATCTGAATGTGACGTTGCCATTGATCCCAGAGAATTACGAGGACCTCTGTGCAATGGTTGGAATGCCGAAAAGTGAAGCTGGTAACTAGACGCAGGGCATGACGCCTGAGATTGTTTGACCATCCAATCTGATCCATTGTTCTTTTAGGGTTGTTTCATGTTGTTTCTTTAGACCAGATTTGGACATGTCTTTCTTTGAGAAAATAATTCTCTGGTGACCTCACAGATCGCTCAAGATCAGCACGGTTTATTGGTGATGGCCCAGATTCCGATGACCTGGGGGCACTTTTTGCATTTGCTTGGCACGATGATGCACGATGGTTGCGGTCAAACATGAGAGGCAACCACGAACCTGGTTGCAGTCTCAAACTTGTCGACCCACAAGGATCAATATGCCTTTATCGATCTGTGGTGGCTTGTCCTTTGCTGAAGCTTTGCCTTCGTCCCAACCGAGCCTTGCAAAAGCAAATGCAAATATATAAATGAAGAAAGTAGAGGAATGAAAAACGGATATATCAAAAGACACGGAAAGTAAGTGGTCTTCAAACGCTTCAGAACCCACTCAAGATGGTCACACGGCCATGCACATATCCCGCTTTCTCCAGCATTCTCTATTAGTCTATTAGCCTTTAGCAAATTCTTTGCTCCCTAAAAACATGTCACATTCCAGCAGTGCATCGAGTTGTTCATCCGTGCAGCTTGTAGCACTGTTTGGCAAAATCCGGTGAGCGCCAGGGCTTGTCCATTCCAGCTATCTCACGGAAAGGGTGGCTCAGCAAACATCAGCAAACATCAAACCAGATCCGCATTTAACATCCCAATCACCAGCAATACATCCTCTTTTGCCAAGGGAGCCAATAGAGTTCGAGATCAAGTTGACCAAGGCGGCACGACTCCGGTGCAAACCCGGTGCTTTCTTTTGTCTGGCAAAAAGTTTGGATAGAATCAGAAATCATTAGAACATTCTTAGAAATCCAAACTCTTGGGGGTTGTTTCAATCCACCTCTTGGACACATTTAGACAAGTCGCAGCATTGCCAGTTGGGCAACCTTTTTCTGACAATGCCTTTGCAGACTTATGGCAAGTCGAGATTGGGCGTTGACGTAGACCTCACCGACGGCTTTGGCTTAGTCGTTGACCAGGCAGGTGCAGAAACAAACATTACTGTACTGGGGGACTTTGGTTGAGAATTGGGAAAGAGAGACCTTTGTGCCAAACGCACACACCCTACGACCTTTTTCAACTCCACAACCATGCAAAGCGCTGAGGTTACCGAAGGGCTTATCCGAGACTGGAACCAGGTGCCTTGGTCGGGGGAGCTTTTGGCACCACTTTTGTCACTTGGTTGCTGTTACTTGCCCGTGCATTGCATCAAATGACTCAAAAGATTGAATTTGGTGTGTTTGTGTTTCAACCAAAGTTTGACTTAAGTGTTGCCATGCTTCAAACTCTGAACACTGGTGGGGCAGGTGCATCCAGAGCAGGCTGTGATCAAGGGAGACAGGTCTGCTTGCAGAGTGTTCATTAGAAAACATGGGAGAAGACTGGAATATATCTAAGTTGCATACAATATCAACGAAGAGCTCAGATAATGAAATGATTGCTTTGTGAGAGTTGACATGATGTGAGTCCAAACGCTCACAGGATCGTTGCTGTCAATGGTGTTCGAGGAAACTCAAACGAGATCACCGAGGCTGCCACACCCCACAGCACTGCTCAAACACGTGTAGTCAAATGTCTTCCAAACCGTTCAGTGTTAAAATTCAGACCCTACTTTCATGTACTGCCTGTGCAAAGAGACAAAGAGATGCTTGAGATTTCTGGTCAAGAGCATGTATTGCCATGCATGTTTATGTCATAGGTTTGCAAAAGTCAAGCTGTCTTGGAGCTTGTCATTCAAAGAAGCTGACGGAGTTCCATGTTTGCTTCTTGGCAGGGGCCGTGTTGCATGACAGCTGTGGCAAAGAGTATGTTGAACAATGCGAAGTAAGTAGGAGTTGCTCAAATCACTCAAGTCAAACCACCAAGGAAGAAAGAAGACACGAAGGACGTGGCAATGTGAGTGTTGCTAGAACATTTGGCACATCTTGGCAGCTGAAAAGTGTAGTCAATGTGATCAGCGTTAAAAGACGCTGAAATCGCTCCAGAGTGTGCTGAAGGAAAGGGTTCTTGCACATTCAATTCAGTACCATTGATTCTACTCAAACTTCTGTGACAAGCACAATTGGAGCTATTGCGACGCAACCTGCCCATGTTTGGGATTAGCTGTGTTTTGTGAGTCACGCCTAAAACGGTGTGTGGCCACTTTTGGTTTCATCCACGAGGAAGCCCAGGAAAGAGCTGGTTTCAAAACAGCCCCCAAGAACTGCATGCTTATAACCACCACGAAGACACATGCAGTTGTTTTTGGACGTATTAAACCGATGGTTCTTGAATTGAGTTGGTAGAGTGAGCTTGGAACAGATGGTGAGGTGAGCTGCTTTGCACAGTTCAGTAAGGTGGCACTGCATTGTACCAAAATTTTGGATGTGGTGACTTTAATGGCATTGCAGATATCAGGAGATGGGTGAGTGCTTGCGATGACTTAAATGGTAGCCAGGGAGCCAAAGCTGATAGCCAAAGAACTAACTTCCTTCTGGGCATCAAGGACGTTACCCTCTGTATGTGGCCGATTTGGCTAGAACGGGGGAGCGTGCTCTTGAGCTGCACAAATGCTGGGCAGGCACCGACTTTGTGCTCATAGAACATGTTGCCAGTTGTTATTTTTATTTTTCCAAAAAGGAAATTATGTTTATATAGTTAATTATTCTCTTGATTGCATGCATTTCAAAAGCATTCATCTAGTGCCTGCTGCTAGTTCTGCCAAATTATACACTTTTTCTTGCCAGCCCTCTTTAGTATACAGTTCTGTTAAAGGACACATGATAATTATGCCAATGTGGTGCCAACAACCAAAGAGTCTTGCCCAGCATCCGTATGTCAAGGTCAAGATGTACGGCTTATCATTGGGGGAAACCGATGATGAGGAGGCAGATCACACAGCAAGCAAAAGCGGAATAGAAAGATTGAAAGCAGGTGAACATCCTCAGACTCAGGCGACTAGTAGAATCTCCATCACTGTGAATTTCATATGCCACTTGGAAGCTTGCAGCAATCGATGATTCGATCAGTCCAGGACTTCTCCGCTGACAGTGGATGGATTCCATGGCACGCGGCTCGAATATTTGAGCACAATTCAGACCTTAACAAAGCGACCTGCTAAGGTTTTGTGCACTAAAAGGGCACGAGCTTTTTGCAGAGGTGGAAGAGGAATACGCAGCAAGCCGAGAGAGTCTTCTTGCAAAGTTTCACCTGTGCAGGATCAGTGGTCGTATAACAACCATGACCACACTTCAAGAATGCCACAGGTTCGGGACAACTTCAACCTGTACGGCTTAAGGCAGCATGAACCTCAGCATCCAGCAGCAAATACTTCAAGATCCCAAGGGAAACAAAGATGCATTGCAAAGGCGATTCCAGTTCTACGAGCACGCGCTTGAGATGATTTTGTCCTCCGAGGATGGTGATGGTTGCACTTCTCACACGATGTTGTTCTTGCACCTATATAGCTGAATCTACTGCTGGAATAGGGTGTTAGACTCGGTGGTAGCTTGCGTCAGTTGGGGCACACCATTTTGATGAAATAGGACTTGCTGACACACGACGTGCGGCGAACATTGCATGGAGATGTGTGTGTGTCAAAAGAAACTTAAGTTTCCCTAAACATCTAGGAATTAAGGAACCAAATGAATAGTGCACGCGCTTCTTCAAGGAAGCTCCCTCCGCCCTCAGGCCGAGGGAGCTTCCTTGAGAAAGCGTGAGCTATCCTGCGTCCGTGCTACTAGCGTACTAGTAACTTAATTAAGTAGGGAGGGGGAGCGAGCTTTTAAAAAGAATCTTCCATTTCTATTTTGCACAACCCCACAGGCACCGGAGGATGATGATCTCGCGGACTCCGAGTTCCTGGAGATCTACAGGTCCTGTTGTCAACCCTGTAGGATCCCGTGGGTATAGCAGATGCTGGTTGCATGTTGTTGCATTTTGTTGCACTAGGCTTGCATTTCCAAAACGCCTAGTTTTGAACTGTGAGATGTGTGTCACTTGCTCCTCCTTTGTTTTTTGCCTGACATACACGGAGTATATGTGAATGCTCAATGGCAAGTTGCTAGCGTTCCAACAATTTCGCTTTCAGGGATGCCAGTGACCTCTATGGCCACAGCCTCAAGGTGAGTGAGCGTCACATGGCCGTTTGCTTTGCACTGCGCGATGTGTGGGACATTTGGACACAAAGCCTGCGCTACGCTTTCAGAGCTGGCCTATTTAGATATTGTTGTATGCCTATTTAGATACTCGTATTGTTTTTTCTTTGTGTTTGATGTGTCCCTTCTTCCTGATTCTCATGCAGTGGTGTCCAATCTAAGGTTTGATCCATGCCCGGTACATCGTTTCTCCACGGGGTCTTCAGGCTTCCAAATGTTTCTTATGAACACCAGAGATCGCGCGAACAATTGGCACCGTGGAGCAGCATGCGAGACAGACATAGCAACACAGATGCACCGAGAAGTACCTCCAACACCCCCCAGGCCATGCGTGAGAAGTACCTCAAAGGGGTCTTCGGAACCTGCCCAAGAGTGCTTTGTGACCGCCCGTGGCTCAAGTGAATCTGAAAGAGACCCACAAGAGACCCACAGAAACATCTGAATTGTTTAAAAGAAAACGAAGCTGTAGGATGGAGGCCATCGCTAGGACAACACTCTGTGTTGTCCACTCCTTGCTTGCTGAGGACAACACACACTGCCCATGGGTCTCTCCGAGGAACTCCGTGCAGCACAGGTCAAGATCTTTTGTCCCAAATGTGAACAGGTGGGACCCGGTGGGACTTGCTCGGTTTGAAGATTCAAAGCAGCCTCTAATAAACATATGAATGGACGTATCACCAAAGCTAGCATGCTAGCTGAGTTCTTCTTCGCTTTAGCAATTTTGTATTGGGATGACAGCTTCGTGCCTTAAAGCCTGATCTTTCATGCTTAGGCGGGGGCCTGGCCCCCCTTGCTGTGATATATACCCTTCTCCCAGCTGCGCCTTTTGAGGGGATCTACGTCATGTTCTTTCTGAACATACAAATGTGTCCCGTAAAATGGATCGCCGGATTCTGCTGTTTTGCTTGCCGACTTTAGTATGACCCCGTGCTTTCTGTTTGACATTAGGCGCGGAGCCATGGCTTTGCGCGGTCGCGGTGTTGCGGGCTTTGGGACCACTGTGTCGGTGTGAGCGGGAATTTGTGAAGTCCGGGTTGTTTGTGTTTGCCGAGGTTGGCTTCCCGAGGGTCTACTGTTGAAGCAGGCATGACGCATCATCGCCTGAAGGAGGCCTCGGTCTTGAGGCAGAGCGAGATGAAGCTCCTCGCGCGGGTTTTCATTCATTGGGTGAAGGACAAACCTGTGAGGTCACCACGGTAGGCCGGTACATGTCTGAAAACTTTTCAAGTCCTTGGAGAGCTTTGCCTCACAGGACGTCTGGGACTTCAAACTTCAAGCAAGAGTTTGGCTGGTCAGCAGGCTGAAGGAGGTTTGGTGTGTCGACAGGAAGCCAGTGCTCCAGGATACCGCCGTGATTCAAGACAGGATGAACCGTCAGTTGCGCGATAAGAACAAGAAGAAGGGACACCAGGCCTTGATGACCACGGTCAATGAGGAGGATGAGGAAGAAGAAGACTGCGTGGATCCAGAGGGAGACAAGGACGGTCGCGGATGAGGCAACCCATGAAACTTGCGCAGGCTGCGGCAGGCCAAGGCCAGAAGCTATCGTTCTGCATGCCGGCGCAAGGGCCGTGGGGCAGTTGGGTGGGAGACCATGTGTCTCGGACAGCGCCGGCAAGGGGCTGGGCGCTCCGACTTTGGCGCCACGGCAAGACAGAATGGCGGGGTCAACCCGGGCAAATGACATCCTTGAGGACAATTCTGGCACTAGGCCTCCTGGGGGTAATTGCGACATGGAGAACGAGGAGTCACCGGTCTTGGAGATCGGCGGCAACAACGCGCGCGGGCAGCCGACAAGTCGCACTCTCGCCTGCATTTCGCGCACTCGACACGCACGATCTCCGCAGAGGGTTGCATTTTCGGTTGACGCTGTTCGTCCCACCCTCCGCCTTTAAGAGAGAATTTATAAAGTGGGGAAATGTTTTTCACTAGGACATCTCCCGTGCTAGTTTTCCACGCTCACACTTGCATACTCATTGCATGCTTGCATGCTCATTGCATGCTTGCATACTCATCATTACACTTGCATACTTTGACACTTGCATACTTTGCACTTGGATGCTTTCGCTCTTCCACTTACACTGGGGTACGTATAGCGTTCATGTTGTAGTGCAAGCGTTGTAGTGCAAGTGTGGAAATGTCAGTGTGTAAGTGTAAGTGTCGAAGTGTCAGTGTTCAAGGGATTTTCCGGAAGAACCCTTCGCAATGCTTTCGGGAAAAACCAATGAGAGGCGTGAAAGGAATCAAACTCACCGGATTTCTGGAAAATTTGTAGCTGCGCAAGAATTACCATCGTAAATGTTACCCTGTTACCATGGAAAAACAAAGCTCGAAGCAGGTCATATGTATATTATATTAGTCTAATGCGCTAGGCACTATGAATTATATCGTCGTGTTCAAGTGTTTGCTGAACGTTTGCTTTGTACTTGGTGCTTTGCAGCCGCATTTGTGGGGCTTGAGTTGTGCAGGTCTACACGGCTAAAAGCAAGTACAGAGAACTGGATGGAGCGTTTTTTGGCATGTTCTGCCGGCATGTTTGGATTCCAAGTGGATCTTCATGGCGCGAAGTGTCGGAACACTTGGAGAGGCAGTTGTAAATTTGCAGTCTCTGCAAGACACAGGTCTTTTCCACAGATCTTTCTGCAGACTTATCCCACCCTGACGCCTTTAGAGTTGCCGAGGCGAGGTCTATTTCTGGGGGAGAATCAGTTTTTGGTGCAAACCATCTTTCTGACATCTATATCAACTTGTCTCCAGCGCACATACCTGCATTTGTGCAGCATCTGGACACCTCTACACTCTAAACCTCCGCGTCGCAATCTTGGCGAGTGCCTCTGGCAGGCCTTTTGTTCCTCGGGTCTTTGGTTTGAATCTCAACTCTTCGAGTCGCATTGCGATTTGCTAGCTCAGCTAGCTTTGCGGGCACTTTTGAGGAATCCTTATTGTAATCAACAGCTTCATACAATTCCGTTCGAGTTTCAGGGTACTCACCGGGCCCCGGTACTAGTAACGTGTAAGACCTTAGGGACTCATAAAGGGTTCACAAGTTTGAGGAACTCCACCCTCAGCTTTCCGTTGCATGATGTGTAGTGTTGAATTGCCCGTGGGCCCTTGACAATGTATATATGTATATATGTAGCTACCTTGCAATGGGCCTTTGTATGCAGCACAGGGTCTACAGCCTACAGTGCAACTTATCAGACGGGACGATTAGCAGGGAAGAGGTAGGAGCAGGGAAGAGG